CATTAATTAAAGCATAGAACTTTTACTTTCCCTGGACTTCATTCGTAAAAACTATACTTTCCTCCGAAAGTTAAAGCCAAAGTATTTTTGTTTTTTAAATTTCGCTATTTTTATTTATTTTCGGACAACGGATACCTACAGCTTTACAAACAAAACAGTTTCTGGTGAGAATAGGAAGAATTCCCGATTTTTCTCTACTTCGGAATTATGAATCAATGCTGCACATGCAAGCTTTTACACTGGCAGTTCCACAGGCAATACTGATCAATCCAATACGAACAATTTTTCCCTCGGAAGATCCACTAAAAGTTGAAGTACTGACCTACTGAAACCCATGCCCTCGTCCTGTAATGCTGACAACGTGTGCTCTGCCCGCGCAGGGTTACCATTAACTTCAACAAAGTTCGGTTAGGTTAAGTAACGGAACTGAATCGATTAACCCACCAAATGGCTCAAGATCTAAATTGAGGTATTATTATGAGAGTTACGTACGAGTATAATGTCTTCCTAAAATTTTTCTTGAAAAATAGCGACCTGATCGCCATGGATTCCTAAAATCCACTTTCTAAATATTAAGTTTAATTTAAAAACCAAAATCTACTCTGTTAAAAATCGAGGACTGAAATTTGACGCATGACTCACTTCGGAGTCTATACAGTGTCCAAAGAAATCGAGCGATATAAATGCGGAGTAAAATACGCTCATCTACACTGCCAAGCTAGGGAAAAACACCGTATGAACATTTAAGCGTTGACAAGCTTCCTTTGATGAAATGCAAATTTCCTGGTAAACTTATAATATTTTCCTTCCAATTTTTCAGATAATTTTGTTCGCAATTTCACCTAAATTTCCTGAAAATTTCAACGAAGAACGTCCATAACTTTCCTCAAAAATAAACATTTTATCGAAGGAAATTTGGCAACTCTCGAATGTTCATACGGCATTCTTCCTTAGCACGGCAGTATAGCGTACGACACTTCGGTAGATTCCGCTTCGTGAAAGTAAAAGGGCGGATCATGCCTCGCATTCATACCAGTCGGGTTGTTTGGGAGCTTTATTGACTCCGGTACCAAATTTCACTCCAAAATGTTTAACAGTGTACGAGATTCGAATGGTGCGCTGAACAAAGGTTCCATTTTTCAAATGGTCGAGTTAGGGAGTGTATTAGTCTTCTTTGAGAAACGATGCTGGCGTTGCATCAAAGAGGAGCGAAAAACGCAAATAACGCACGCATAATATACCAAGCGTATGGATTTATTATCAATGGCCAATTTGACTCGCATAAATGATGGTTTTTCCAGTAAGAAAACAGTCAAAACCTCACGCCGCTGAAAAGTGCTGTTATTTCGCTTAAGAATTGACTTGAGACTTGAGAAATGTTCATTGCGCAAATCGTTTTTTACTCGAAATATTTGCACGAAAAAATATATAATATCATTAAATTCCGACCCTATTTGGTGGTCCATATATTGAAGCTGTAAAAACGAGAAAAACTGGTGATTTCAGCACGGCAACATCCTACCCCGTTTTAGCATGGAATTTCAGGGATCTGCCCGAAATTGTGACCTAAGCAAGCCTTTCATGCGGATTTTCAGCAAAGGCATATTTCATCTCGAAAACTCTTCTTAGTGTCCGATAGTCGACATTCAGTGCGTGGTTTAATTCCTTCAAATCCCTCTTCATTTAAAAGTCTGGTTTCAGAGTAGCTGCATTTTATCGCATAATCTCGCAAACGATTAGGTATGAAACACTGGGGATTGGGGAATTAAAAGTTGAATGGCTGGCGGAAGGTGGATTAAGACATGCCGAAGCATAACAGTCGATCACAAACATCTCTACTATGCTATTCCATGGTTCCGTGGAAAGCTTTTCCGCGAAAATTTAGAGTATGAAATAAATAAGCCAGCATATTTACGGTGCTCAGCACTTATTAAAGGCTCAACAGAAACAACTTTTGAAGCTTAGCTTGGAAGTTCACAGGGATGAAAACTACGGAATTTTTGCGAAACGTGTTACTGGACTATCAATATAACAATCTCAAATCTGAACCGTTAGTTTATGAATTTGATCGAATTTTTCATAGGTTAATTGTTCCTGGGTTGGAAGATGTTTATACTTTCATCCATTGACAGCCTTGGGAGATCTGGCGGCAACCCGCAACAAAGTCATAATATTACGAAGATCGCGACCGACAGTTGGTTCGGAGATCTTACAAATGATAGTGCAAATTTGAGGTTATAAAAGTGATCTGTTCCAGAAAATAAAACCTTATATTTTGCAAATAAATAACTAGCTTTGTCCCATCGTTTCTGGCAGCTCTGGTTAAATATTCCAGAGATGACTGTTACGATTTTACCTTCGAGACTTAGTACGTACCGGCAGTAAATTGAATAAATGCGACTGTCTTCTCCTGAAATTTGCGAGGAGGGGTGGGGGCGGAGAGGGTAGAGGGTAGAGGGAGACTTTTCTACCACACTGTATACTGATTCAAGGGGAACGCACCCCGACCGCTACGCAAGTTGACCCCATGAGGCGCTTCGCGCTCTTTGAGGTCCTCTTCCCGGGTCACAGTCTAAAAATTTCAAGAAAGTGAACTCATCTAGACATTGTTCAGTATTAAGGTGATTCTTCAAGCTCACGTGACAAGGTCGAACAGGCATGTGATATATCGAATCGATAAGGTAACAAATCTCGGCAGGTTTTGAATTTTGAATTTTAAGCAAAAAAAGGACGATAGCCCCAACGCGAGAGCCAATAAAATCATTCTAAATCCAAAACCTGGCATCATTTAAAGAAATGAAAGCAGAATAAAGTTGGGGGAAAAACCTCGCATTCAATACAGAAATCAATAGCTGAATCGAATTCGAGGTTTCTTCCTACCGCTAATTAGCTTCATTTCTCGGCATTTTGCCAATTTGTGGGTTTAGAATGATTTTTAGGCTCATGCGCACGGCGGGCTATCGTCCTTTTTTTCGCTAAAAATTCAAAATCTGCCGAAATTTTTGACCTAATCACAGCGATATATCGCATGCCAGTTCGACCACGTCACTTGAGCTTGACGAATCACCTTAGGGAATCCGCGGTTGAGTGATATGAGATTTTTCCCATTTTCTGAATCTGCTTTTCCACGAAATAGATCCACAGATAGTTCTTGTGTGGGTTACGAATACATTAAGAGCGAAGACGTTTCAATGATTCTTAAAATAACGGAGATAAATAAAAACCTGCCAAGAACAAGAAACTTTCTGGAGAGGGGGCGAAGCGGAAGGGGTGAACTTAACTTTGGAACTTTTAAAGGAACTTTTGGAAGGATTTGTGTTGGCGTCGACTCGAGTAAACTTGCGACCGATAGGGGTTGATTCCGAGTCAGATACATCACTTTTCAAGATGACTCATCAGCATCATTTATGATTATCATTGGTACAGTTAATTTAAAAAAGACACATTTATTTCACGGGAGATTTTGACCAGTTATGAACCACGCACAGGAACATTTTGGGGGTTAAATAGATGCGCAATAAACATTGTTGAAATACTGTGTCCACTTAATATATCAAGCAAAAAAAAAGGAACGTTTACGCATGGACAAACATTTCAACGGGATTTTCTCGAAAAAGCTCTGTAAAAAACCCTAGATTGAGGCTGCAAGCACCCAAACACGAAATATCGTATTCGATAAAGTCGAATCAATTAAACAGTAAAATTTCGAATTGGGATACTTTTAGCTTATGTTTTTTCCCGGGGCATCCTGCTAAAACGTACTTTTGGGGCGCTTCTGATTGTTCCGTTTTTGCAAAGATTTCAATGTGAAACCTGTATTTTTTCAGTTTGTTGGATGGTTCTATTTTGCTGTGAATTCACCTTCACTCTCCCGTAAAACTTGTTTATTCTTTCAACTATCTTCCATGTTGAAATATTTACAATTTTGTTGGTTTGCTTATGTTTTTCTATTCCAAAACTGGTGAACAACGTATTACAAGACTCTTTAGACACACTCCTGCATCCCCTTTTCCAGATCCTACCCATTCCCTAAAAAGTTCCTGATTTTTCCGGACATTTATCATTCCCTGATGAATCTCTGTAACTACCGGTTTTTCTGGATCCTACCCGTACCCTAAAGAATTCCTGATTTCCCCGGATATTTATCGTTTCTTGATGGATCTCTGTAACTCCCGGTTTTTCCAGATCCTGCCCATTCTCTGAAAACATCCTGATTTTCCCGGATATTTATCGTTCCCTGACGAATCTCTATAACTCTCGGGTGCTCCAGATCTTACCCATTCCCAAAAAAATTCCCGATTTCTACGGATATTCATTTCCTGATTAATCTCTATAATTCCCGCAGCTGTTCCAGGGTTTTTCTAAATCTTTGATGCCGAGTCAACGAGCGAAAAACCAATTTTAAAAGAATTGAATCTCGGAGCAGAGAGAGAGGAACTTCCCGGTTTTCGGCACCCATTCCCTAACAGTTCCCCGATTTTTCCGGATCTCTATCATTCTCTGCTGAATCTCTGTAACTCCCGGTTGTTCCAGATCCGGAAAAATTCCCGATCTCTCCGGATGTTCATCATCCCCCGCTTGATCTCTGTGATACCCGGTTCATCCATGTCCTGGACACCACACTGGGAAAAAAATCACATTGGATCTAGAGTCCAGACTCTTGAAAACATTGACAAGAAAAAATGCTCTTGATTCAATCGGATTTTTGCTTGAATCAAAACGAAATCCTCTTAAATTAAGAAGCTTGGTTCTTGATTTAAGCTAGATTCTGATTGAATCAAGAGTACTTTTTCTTGTCGATGTTTTTAAGAGTCTGGACTCTAGATCCAATGTGTTTTTTTCCAGTGTGCTAAATCTCTGTAACTCTCGGTTTTACCAGCTCCTACCCATTCCCTAAGAAATTCCCGATCCCTCCGGATATTTATCATCCCCCGCTCAAGCTCTGTGATACCCGGTTTGTCCATGTCCTGGACACCATGGTTAAAGATATAGGGTCGTACCTGGCATTTGAGCGCGTGTCCAAAACTCGGCAGAGAAGAGGATGCGACGACGAGAACAATCCATGACCAGAACATGACGGACGAATTCGGTATTCCCGAAAAAAAAAGGGAAAAATTCCACTGGGAAACTCAGCGACGCATCGGCGTTGACATGCACCCAAACACGCGTTGCACTAAAGCGCACAGCCGTTGGATCCCGCAGACGTGACCCGCGACTCCCGCACTATGAACTGAACGAATCTTTCCGGCGACACTTTATCTCCTACAAATACCCCGTGCCGCTCCACGTCCACCGCCACCCTCCCCAAGCCCCGCTTCCGTGGATCGCACCCGTTTCCTTCCCAAAACACCCACATCTTTTTCTTTTTATTTTTCTTGTTCCCCAATCCCGGTTCCTTATCCGCTCTTCGCTCTTTCGTCAAGCCAACCGCAACTTTCGCGCCAAGAGGATGAATGGGCAGGGTTGCCACAGAATATAGGTAGGCACTTTCCCTGATTCCCCCGACGCATTTTGGTGAAATTCCCCCGGTGAAATGTGTGAGGAATTTGCGATTTGACCATAGATTCTTATGTAAAAGTTTGCGAGAAACACGCCGGTGCCACTGGTTTTCTCTGAAATTAACTCCAAAGCTCAAAAAAAAGCTCTCAAGTTGAGGCCAAAATGGAGGGGATATCCCACGCTATCCTGAGAGTCCACCTCTACATAAAGACAAACTCTCCATGCAAAGATAGGGAGCAAATACATAAGCAGGGTTGCCACTTTATTTGGGGACTCTAAAATCGAAACACGGCATCACTGCTGATGTATTTGCTCCCTATCTTTGCATGGAGAGTTTGTCTTGATGTAGACGTGGACTCTCAGGATAGCGTGGGATATCCCCTCCATTTTAGCCTCGACTTGTGAGCTTTTTTTGAGCTTGGGAGTTGATTTCAGCAAAAACCAGTGGCACCATCGTGTTTCTCGCGAATTTTTACATAAGAATCAATAGTCAAATTGCAAATTCCTCACACATGCAACATCTCCATTGAAGAAATGCTAGGTCGTTAAAAAGACATACCTGGAAATAGGTTTCAGGCAAAATTTGTGGTTCGAAACGTCGAACCCATTCTAAAAATCAAATGAAGGTGACCTGACTATTTTTCCCTGACATTTTTGTTACGAAATTGTGAACGTGCTGATTTCAGCTCATTACTTACTTGAAGGCGATTTATGCGCAAAAACAATTCGCCTTCAGCTGCGTCTACAGCAATTGTTGTTACGAATATGTTGTGCGTGCTGATTTCAGTTCATTACATACTCGACTCTCTGAAGGCGTTTTATGTGGGCAAGTAGCGCAATCTGACGGAGAACGAACAAAGGAGGGATTGGGCGATTCATTCAATCTCACTTCTGATGTTCTCCAACAGGGTGCTCTACTTCGCACATTAAACGCCTTCAGAGAGTCAAGTATGTAATGAGCTGAGATCAACGCGCACAATATATTCGTAACAACAATTGCTTGCTCTACTTTCACACATTAAACGCCTTCAGAGAGTCAAGTATGTAATGAGCAGAGATCAACGCGCACGACATATTCGCAACAACAATTGCTGCGGACGCAGTTGAAGGCGAATTGAAAACAATCGTATAATACACGTTGAAAAACAAGTTCGCTTACCAATAGAGCTGTATTTTATGGTCTTTATTTGGGCGATTCTCGAAAAACTTTTCAACATTAACTAAAATAAACTAACTTTTCTGGCAGGTGGGGGTTTTTCCGGTGGTTTGTTTACCGACGCCTTTGCATACCCGCGAGAGGAAGAGGAACGGTCGGGCCTGCCTCGTCTGGTCGGAATGTCTCGCCGGTTCAACTTCTCTGAAGGCGTTTAATGTGTGAAAGTAGAGCAAGCAATTGTTGTTACGAATATGTTGTGCGCGTTGATCTCAGCTCATTACATACTTGACTCTCTGAAGGCGTTTAATGTGCGAAAGTAGAGCACCCTGTTGGAGAACATCAGAAGTGAGATTGAATGAATCGCCCAATCCCTACTTCGTTCGTTCTCCGTCAGATTGCGCTACTTGCCTACATAAAACGCCTTCAGAGAGTCGAGTATGTAATGAACTGAAATCAGCACGCACAACATATTCGTAACAACAATTGCTGTAGACGCAGGTGAAGGCGAATTGCTTTCGCACATAAAACGCCTTCAGAGAGTCAGGTATGTAATGAGCTGCAATCAGCACGCACGACGTGTTTATAAAAACAATTGCTGCAGACGCAGCAGAAGGCGAATTGTTAATCAATTAAAAAAAGAGTATGATAGGTAGCCTGCATTCGAATGACATGAATCGAACGAAAAATATAAACGCGAACCGATCAACAGCGAGTCAATGGACAAATAAGTAAAAAAGCTGATCAAAATCAGTAAAAAAACTTTCGTTTACTATGAAACCTTCAAAATGCGATATCTCAAAATTAGGATCAGCCAAGATTTTGATATTCCGCGATTTCAAGTCCACGCGTAACATAGACTTACCTCCTGCAAACCGTTTTTGGATGCATTTTTGTCGTATTTTTTTCTACACGAACAGATTGCGGTGGACGCATGGGTCGACGGGTCTTACGACGGTAAGTTGGAGTTTTTCAGCCAACGTGCGTTAAATTCAGCATAAAGCTGATATCTCACTACAGAGGAAAAAAGCTCAGACACAAGCACAATTTTCCCTCGAAGAGATACGCTGTTAGGTGCAACACTGGTAACGACCTTTTTTTTTTGCTTCAATACCACTGTGCGCGGAAGGAAGGTGTACAGCCGCACTAAAAAAACGCCTTCAGATGATGCCTGAGTTTGTTTGATAGAAACATGGAAAATATGTGTGTGTTTTCCCAATTTTTCTGTCAATTGTTCAAAAAATCTAAAAATTTGGAGAGAAACACCCAGAACTTTTCACGAAAATAAATATTTTCCCAAGAGAAATTTGACAGTACTTAAAAGTTCATGGAATCGCGTTTTTGCTCAGGACTACAGTACGTATATACGACTCATTTTTACGAGCTGACTACCGCTCATATGTTGTACCGCCTGACACGACACAAGTACAAAAGGCCAAATTAACGTAGCGATGGAAGGCGAAAACTCGTGTATAGGACATACACGACAATTTTTGAGTGTCGTTTCACCAAATTATGGTCTTAAGTCGAAGATTAATCATGGACTGGGAGTAAAATTGTCAGAAGGGGATGAGCATGAATATGCCTCTCTGAATTTTACACTTAGAGCTTGTACACTTCTTACCACAATGGTTGCAAGTCAAACCTATATAACGTTTGTCGCTTTGTTTCAAAGCCCCTTCAAAACTGGACGAAGCAACCATGCGTCCACACAAAGTAAAATCTACTTCTCGCTTGTCTAGCGAGAGGCATGCCTTAGTTTCTTTCTTGTATGTGTTTTTTGAGTCTTTCGGAAATGATGAGAGTGATGAACAGCAACGCAAAGAATGTTATGCGTGACTTTTTCGCATGATACGTGTGGATTTGCAATAATTTTAATCTCAATTAAACAGATGTGATTTTATAAAATTACGGATATTCGATTACGGGAATAGTATACTAAACTATATTAAAAATACGATACTAGGATACGTAATATCATTGAGAGAGATGCAGGCGTTTACACAAAATGATTCAGGGTTGCCTCAAAATTTGGAAAATGAAATTCCCTGACATTTCCATGGCACATTTAGGTGAAATTCATTGACAATAAAATGAAGATATGATAGATGGTTAAGAAGACATAATTGAAAAAAAAATTCAGGCAAAATTTGTTGTTCGGCACCTCAATCCCATTCTAGAGAGAAAATAAAGGTGATATAACAAATTTTTCCCAACATTTTCGTCATTTTCTCAGACATTTTCCGGTTTTTCCTGCGTATATATTCTCTGACTGTGGTAACCCTGTGATATTCATTTAACCAAAAACTGCGATGTTTTCCAACATGGAATAACGAAATTATGAACAGAACAGATTTTATGTGCGTTAAAAGTCGGTATGATGCTGAAATTCACCATGCTCCCTTGCAGAGGTGGATCCAGCAATATGGCAACACCGGATTCCCTCCATTTAAACCTATGTCAAATAATCGATTCTTGTCGGAGCAACTGGCCCCTTCAAAAGCCGATACATTTCCATAGCTTTTAATGATGAAAACATGTTCTAAGTGAAATTTTGAAGATGAGACATTTATCAGAACGCTTAAATTCCCAACTAATCGAGTGATCCATTGCTCAAACTCCTGCAGGCAACTATTACTGCTCCTGAGCCGCTCAAATTGCCTACGAGCTAATTGAAGGCGAACTGGTGTGAATGAACATAACGCAAATGCAATTGAAAAAAAAAAAGTTAAGGGGTGTCGATTATACTGGTTTGTTCCAAATGCGCGGTGCTGTTAAACGAAACAAGCCCCGAATAGTGTGCATTTCCATAAAAAGCATAGCCTTTTTTAAAATATCCTCTTAACCTGAGAAGGATTGCATTTAGTCAAAAGCCAAACTTGCTTTCTAGAGCTGGGATGGTCAGAATTTCAAACTTTTAAAGAGGGTCTTCAGTATATACAAAAATCCAAAATTGTTCTCATCCATTAATGCAGAGCAGGATTGCATAGGTGCGTTATTCAAGTAAACAAATTAGACATGGTCAACGAAAGCTCTCAGCGGTAAAAAATCAATTTTCAACGGATTTCAGGACGAAAATGTTCGACAATTTTGAAGCTGACGAGACGAGCTCATTAATGAATATGTTTGCAAAGGAACGATTCCTGATGTTAAACTTGCGTTCTTTGCTGACTTGAGCTTACTTTAAAATGGCATCCCTCGAACCGAGTCTGATTCTTCTTAAACGAAGAGCCTCAACAGTCCAACAGACTGAAGTCATCGTAGAAGGAAAACCGACCAAAACCTGCTGGCGGAGTGTTACCAATTACGCTTGATTCTCCTCACATTTCAAGTCACGTTCACAGGACAAAAAGAGTCATTACCGCTCACTGAGGTTGTTCGCCCATTTATATTATAATCACACTTTTCCGAAAAACTCAGGTGCTTTTGTCGAGCGCGTTGAGAAATCGTCACTTTCTTCGAGGTTATAAATCAGTGTCATAACGCACGGGTCCTTTTCAAACTGCTGAGTCTAAAATGCGAGCGGGCTCTTAATCTTATGCTACACTTCTGACGTGCGTATTTTTGAGACGTACGAACAGCAGCTAT